CTGGTCTCCTCCGTGCTGAGGAGGACTGAGTCTGTCAGCAGATAAAGACTGACTTTGGTTCCTGCTGTGGAGCCTGAAGTTCATCTATGGACCTGAACTGGTCATAATGTGACGTCACAGCAAATACTCTACAGTTCTACTTAGAAGTAATCTGATTACTGTGGATGGCTTCCATTACTGCTCTCTCTGTAACTCACAGCAGTTGAGTTCGTCGCTCTTGTCGAGACAGTCGTGATCTCCGTCGCACAACCAGTCTCTGGACACACAGCGGCCGTCGGCGCAGCGATGCTCACGAGTCGGATCGCACACTGTCAACACACACAGACACACAACTGTGAGAAGGAAGCGTCAGAGGCGAGTCGCTGAGCCTCCGTCTGCAGGAAACACCACCGGAGGCGATGGTTCCTTCACCGCAATGGGAGAAAGACTCCACGACAAATCTCAGAGGCTTCAGATTGATGACTACTGATGGTTTAGTCAGGACGGTGGGGACTATCAGAGCAGGGTAACTGGGTTTGGACCTGAAACACATGTTTAGGAAAACACAAGTTCTGCTGCTGACATTGATAAAACAACAAACTCCAACTGAAAACTTTGTTGAGGCCTAAAAGCAAAACTCATCACAAAAGCCTTAAAAGATGAATACGAGGAGACAAAGTCAGCACAACGAGACAAGCTGCCAGAACCGCCGTCCGACTGGGACGGTTCTGTCTGCAGGAGTCGTGTCATGTGCTGCTGCTCTGATCCCCGTCGGCTTGATCCTTCAGCAGAAACAACAAGAAGACGTCAAACCAGCACAGCAACAGGGACTGGCTGTTAGAAACGCTGCCAGCGCTCAGCGGTGGCGCTGCTTCTGGACTGATCCAGGAGGACAGAGCACACGCTGGGCTGCTTTATGACTGGTGTGTGTCTGTGTGTGTGTGTGTGTGTGTAGGTAGGTGTGTGTGTAGGTGTGTCACTGTGTGTGTTCAGACAGACACACAAGTCTAAACATGTGCAGTTGGACAGCTGCTGGATTCCTCCACTGATCCTCAAGTGGGTCATCGTGTGTGTGTGTGTGTGTGTGTGTGTGTGTGTGTGTGTGTGTNTAGTAACCAGACTAACTAGTAGTTTACCTGCAGGGCGGGACCCTCTGCAGGCTGAGCGGGTCACACTTGGGCACCAGCAGCGTGCAGGCGTAGAACATGAGGTACTGGTAGCAGCCGGTCTGGACCAGCGCCGGGAACAGCGAGGACTCCCAGGACACGGAGCTCTCCCTCTGGGACTGGTGGCCCAGGAAGTTGGGGAAGCTGGTCAGGTTGTAGGGCAGGTTCATGCACAGCTCCAGGCTGATGGGCTCACAGCGGGCTGGACACAGAGAGCACAGTCAGAACCAGAACCTCCACCAGGGGGAGACAGAGCACAACAGGTCAGAGCAGGAGCAGGACTGTGTGAGATCCACAGAACATCAGCAGACTCTTCTGGACTCTTCTGGACTCTACTGAGCGTTTCCCTTGATGAAGCTTAGAACACGATCACTGTGATGACACGCTCCTTCTAGGCAGCCATGTGCTGCGTCTCTGTCCATCAAACCACAGAAAGGCATCCTGCACCAACTACAAGCACACCAGCTGCTTCAGCATCACATCAGTAATCTATTACTCTGCTGTAGGAGTACTTTTACTTTGTGCTGTTTGATTCTGAAACTCACTGCAGTTGTTGTTGTTTCGGGAGTCGCAGCCGGCGTTGCCCCCCCCACACTGACAGGAAGTGGAGATGCAGCTGGGCTGTCCGGACACACACCCCCCCTGATCTGAACACACACACACACACACACACACACACACACACACACCTGAATGACTCGGGGAGAAAGTGTTGAAATCTAATTCAGCGTGGTTTTAATCTAAATGGTTCCATGTCCTGCCTCAGTGTGGACAGTTCTGGTCGTGAAATATTTCTCATGAGAAAATCAAACGTGTGAAAGTCTTTTGAGCTCCAGCAGCATTTTCTGGGTGTTTTTCTTTCTGCTCCTGGTTCAAGTTTCTATGAAGTCCTGCAGCTCTGTGGAACCACGGTTGTATTTTGGTCACATTTTGCAAATCCAGTGGTGACTGGATAATCGACCCTTAACAATCCTAAACCTGCTGTCCGACAGGTTTGTAGGAAAA